ACATTCCATACCAGAACATGCAGTCCTCAGTAGGTAAATCTCTATTGGGATTTAAAAGTGTAGGCATTCAATAGACTAGCTAGCCCAATAACTTCCCAATCGAGTTAATCCTTCTTCCAGTAGAAATCAAAGTAATTTTGTTAGTTTAAAGAACAAACTTTATTTTTTATATTGTCTTTTCAAAAATTTGTCTATGAGAACTTCTGTAAAAAATAATAGCTTCTTTATTAGCATATAGAATAGAAGAATCTGCAGGGGACAAGAGGCAGCTACTCCCATATTATTAAATATCAGCACCATTTTGACATAAGTTGCAATGCATATAAAAAGGGGAGGTCTTCAATCATGGTTGCCATCTAGACCAGGGGTTCTCAACCTTGGCAACTTTAAGACTTGTGGACTTCAACTCCCAGAATTCCTCAGCCAGCAAAGCTGGCTGAGGAATTCTGGGAGTTGAAGTCCACAAGTCTTAAAGTTGCCAAGGTTGAGAACCCCTGATCTAGACCTTTTGGATAGCTACCCCCACCAATCACCTATATACCTATTTCCCTGATGTAGAGCAAGGATGGGTTCTTCTAACATCCTGGGCTGAAGGCCAGATTTGTCTTTGAAAGGTATCCTTGAAATCACCTCCAGAAATATGTGTTATGAGACTAGGATAAAACTGATGTTTCCATTTTATTTACAATTATAGGTATTTTTAAATATAGATAATATCATTACTCTCTAGGTACATATTTAATGATATCCTTCAACTACTATATTAACATTTACAATTTTCTAACAACTTTTTAAATTCTCTGTAGACTTAAAGGCACTTGCAAAATACCTGTTGCCCTGGCTCCTCAGACAACGGTCTGAGTTAATACCAAACTGCTTGAGATTGTTAATATATTTGACTGGAAATTCTATAAAACTTTCAATTGAGAAGAAATTTGATCTGAGTTCTGCTTAGAGAGCTAATTAACTACAGAAGACCTAGTTCATCTACATAGATAAGTTTATCCCTCGATGTTAATGGTCATATGCTCCTGCCCTTTTATGTAGCCATGGGTATTACTTTACTTAAAATAGAACAGCAATACACACATGTAGCCTCAGCTACATCAGCAGTTCGTTGCTGTTCCCATCACTGGCTACCTGTCTGGCATTTGAGTTTCTTTCAATGACAGGGGCGTGAACTTCAAAGGTCCTAGCTGGCATAGATTTTTCTGCCAAAGTCTTTTATGCAGAAACGACGGAAAAATGAAGAAATAACAAGGATCAGATGAATATAAAGGATCATATTATGGGACAATACTTAAGTAACACAGCAAGTTACTAAATCCTATTCATGACAGAACTGGATCACTCCTTTGGAATTCAAGGGAAGTCAGAGTACAGAGCTAAATAGACAAATAAGCTTGTTTTCCATATGTCATATATCCCTTCCCACATGATTCAACCTGAGGCCATAACGTCTCTTTTCTTTTATTATGAGAACAGGATTAAAAGTTCATATAATTGGCTCTCATACATTAGTGGTATGAAATTCTGAATCAGAAATTCTGAATCAGGCCATAAAAATCTCTCATTTTAAAAAAGAATGTCTATGAGATCCCAGATGGAATTTTCAAAATGAAATCAGTGCCCTTTAGCCAATGTGTGAGGTTATTCAGAAGGAATAAAGGTCTTTGGAGTCATGCCTATGACTACTTTAGAGGTCAGCAGTGAGTGGGTGTAGTTCTCAAAAAAGAACTTGAGAGGCCACTCCATGAAAAATTGTTGCTGATCAGGGTCTCTACCTTTGTGGACTGAATAACTATTTATTCACTATTTAACAGGGACAAAGATACACCATCTGCATCCTCTTGCTTACTTCTTCTGGTTCTTCCAATGAATCTTCAGATCAAAATACCCAATTTAACAGAGGATGAACCAGGGGGAAGGGAAATTACAGGATATTTTGCATCATAATTTAGGATGTCCTTTCTATCTTTGAAAGTCCTTTTCAAGTAGCCAATCCATTGTACTCTTTGTTTCCTGGAGCTTTTTTCTCCAAATGAAGCTTTACTATTAGGATTGCAATTGCCAGATTGCTTGTCCTGATTTTCCACGCTGCAGAAGCAATCACCGTCTCTGACTTGCACAGGGGAACTAATTAAAAATACATGTAATAGTCACATGTGATCCAAGGCATCCTAGTTTTGACTCTACTACTTCTTTGAATTATGCGTTAGGCCAATACTAAAGAGTTGGTCTCTTCTAACAGCTGTGATTGAAATTGGAGTGGTCGTCCATCAATCCAACTGGAACAAAAGAAGGAGAGATAATGTACTGATTGAGACAGGTATCTTAACAGGTTAACAATTATATCTTCTTCCTGTATATAATGGTGAGGTCTTGTCAGGTTATAAATAGCACAACTCTATCTTACTCTACTGGTCTTATAAGAGATCAGTGTAGTGATTTATTTAGCATAGTTTTGTCTACAGTAGCTGTTATTCTCCGGATGTGTTGGATTCTAGAATTCCCAGGACACCAGGCATTAGCAGCAGTTGTTCATGCATTCATCAGGAACCTAAAGCTCACTTGATAGCACCTAACTAACTTCATGGCCTTATCTAAAAATACTAGAGACTTAGTCTGCAATCTCCATGTACAGTTCTATCACATCGAACAAAGATTTTAAAAAATCAATAGTATAGCTAAAAAATAAGAAAAAACTGATTGATACCCATATTATATATAAGAAGAGTGCTTCTGTTTGCTCAAAATGGCAAATAAAGTTTCATATTTGTATTTTATACTGACTTTGTGTATGTGAATTTTGTGGACATTTGTATTTTTATGTCTCTAAGGATTCAATTCAAAACTGATAATTATATGTCTCAAGCCACTCTGGACTGATATATTTCCCCTTCAGGCACCAGAGTTGACCTGAAATCCCAAACATAAAATAGCTGAATTGGGAGGCTTTACATATAATAATTAGAAAATTTATTGATAATTTTTAGAGTGACACTTGGGATCTGATTACAGCATAAGCTTCATGGAAGAAAAAAATCAACAGTAATTTGGGAAAAAGGTTAACAAACTTTTAAATCCTACTTCAGAACTTTATAAAGCCTTTATATATGCTACATTGAAATTTCATCATTTGAATGCTCTAGATAATGATTTCTCATTAAATCAATAGCTGAGCTGTGATTTTTAGAATTAAGAAATATTTTACAGGAGTTCAGACAGTTTCCCTTCATTTCATGTGTGATTGGGATGCATGAGCTAACTCCAACCCACAACAGATGCACAAGCCACATGTTTGACAGCTGTGCAGGACAGACACATTTATGGCAATACATAAATTGGGCTCTTCACAAGGCCAGCAAACACATGAGCTTTGAGGTGTCTTGTTC